AAAAATTTAGGTTATTTTAGTTATTAGGTATTTTTTCAAAAATGATAAATTACAACAATAAGACCTCCTTTTCGATTTTTTTAGATTCTGAGCGGAGCGATGAATGTATTGGTTTTACAATGATGTGTGTTTTTATATTTTTTTAATTTTTTTTGTGTCTGTCATCACGTTTTAGGACAGTAAAAGTGCTTGGATTTTCTTCATCAGTAGCTTTTCTGATAGGAAAGTGAATCTAGTTGGTACTTTGGGGGGTCAAAAGTATAAATTTCCCAGTAGTTTTCACAAGCGCCGGGAAAAACAACATAAAAATTAAGGAAAAACGGGAATTTTTACGCAAAATTGGTTTTCCAAAAAATCGATTTTGGTTATTGGTGTAATTCTAAAACAAATGAACGTATATATACATGCAATTTTCACTGGTTGTTTATATTTGCAGTTTCTATACACGATAACATTTTCAAAATATTTTGATTTATTTTGAACTGTTTAGGGACATTTTCATTTTCCATTTTTTTTTAGTTTTTTTTCTAAAAATATCAATAAAATTTTATTTGTTGGTTGCAAAAGCCAAAACTTTGGTTGCTTAAAACTGAACTGTTCCCTACATTGGATGACATCACTATCACTCAACTTACGAACAAACACCCTACATACGCCTCCTTCCATATCCAATTGCCACTTCAAAACCTAAATGAAGTACTGAAACCTTCATTTTGGCCTGAAGGTGTCATTGTGAAGCGCTTCTGGGGACGTTTGCAACCAGGTATGTCGCTGAACTCAGCTCCAAAAAACTTATAGAAAATTTAAGCTCTAATGTACTCCTTGGCTTTTACCAAAATTGTAGAGGTCTTAGATCTAAACTAGATTTATTTAGATGTAATGTTTCCGTTTTTAATTATATTTTTGTTTGTTTAACCGAGACATGGCTCACCGATAGTTTTTATGATAATGAATTAGGTTTGTCAAACTATTTTATTTTTCGATGTGATAGAAATAATTTAACTAGTTATTGTCGTCGAGGTGGTGGTTTGCTCATTGCCATTCGTAATGACATCTTATGTGAGTTATTGCCCACATCAGTTTTCAATGTTGAACATGTATTTGTGAAATTTTCAACCAATAATGTTGCATTTATTGTTTGCTCCGTTTACATCCCTCCAAACAGTCCTATCCATATCTATGAGTACTTTATGTCAGCTGTCCAAATTATAATCTCTACCCACTCCGATTGTGTATTCTTATTTTGTGGCGATTTTAGTCTTCCAAACGTAAGCTGGTCTAACGACAACTATGGGCTTTCTTACTCTTCTGTCTCAGGTACAAGAATACATTGCGTGCCCGAAATATTTGCATTTCACAACTTTTTTCAATTAAATAGTGTACCTAACTCTTCAGGTAATATCCTTGATCTAGTATTCTCTAATAACCCTAACACGTGTATTACAAAATTTGATACTGCGGTTGTACCAAGTGATCCTTACCATCCAGCTTTGGACTTAATTTTCACTTTCGACCATGAACTGCCATCTATTGATAACACGCATAACTTCTTCGATTTCAGTCCGCAGATTTGCTCATTTTTGAATTCGTTTAATTGGCTTCTAACCATTACTTCACTTGATATTGACTCAGCAACGCACGCACTTTATGACGCCTTACACTATTGTGTCTTAAATTTCGTTCCTGAAGTCAAGTACAAACCTTCAAGATTTCCTAGTTGGTTTTCTAGAGATCTAAAGTCTATTGTTTGGGAAAAAAGAAAGAAGCATGCTAAGTATAAATCAACCCAGTGTCCTCGTGACTACTCTGAACTTTCTACTCTTCGGGTGCAATATAAGATTGAGTACAAAAAATGTCATAGTGAATTTTTGTCTCGCACTGAAAAGCAACTAAACAAAAATCCACGTTCCTTTTGGGACTTCGTACGCAAACATAAATCTGGCAGTGGAATCCCTAATTCAGTCTTCTACAACGATACAACTAGTTCTGGGCCTGAGTCGATTCCCCATATCTTCTCATCGTACTTCAAGTCAGTCTATCTACAAAATGTCCATAATCATTACGACCCTGGCACTCCTTTTTCCCATTTTAATTTACCTAGTGACTGCATATTCTCTGTCGATGATGTTGATGTTGGTCTCTCTGCTTTAAAAAACGTTAAATCTACCGGACCTGATGGCTTATCTGGTACTTTTTTGTTCAACATCAAGTCGGCCTTATGCTATCCTCTATGGTTGATATTTAGGCGTTCTATGGATTTGGGTGTCTTTCCAAAAATTCTGAAGATGAGCTCTGTAACCCCAATATTCAAATCAGGGGATAAGTCTGATGTGAAAAATTATAGACCTATTTCAATCTTAAGTCATATTGCCAAGTTGTTTGAGCTACTGGTGCTACGGAATATTCAACCATCGGTTAACAATATATTAATTGACGAACAATATGGCTTCAGACCTGGCCGCTCGTCTGTATCGAACTTAATTGTACTTAACAACTACATCTTTAAAGCTTTCGAGCAGCACTCTCAGGTTGACGTCATATTCACGGACTTTGCTAAAGCTTTCGACAGAGTCGATCACCAAACTCTCATGGATGTTCTGTACAAGTCGGGATTTGGTGAGCCTATTCTTTCATGGCTTAAATCGTACCTAACAGGCAGAGTCCAATGGGTCAAAGTTTTTGGACATACATCCAAAGCGATCGAAATTCCCTCGGGTGTTCCTCAAGGAGGCCACTTGTCCCCTATTATTTTTTCACTATTTATTAATGGCCTAAAAAATGTGATACCCTCCGCCAAGTTCCTTATGTTTGCAGATGACCTTAAAATCTTTAGTCGTGTTGACACATTAAGTGACTGTGACTCTTTACAAAGTGACCTAAATTCCATGGTTTCCTGGTTCAATTCTATTGGACTACAGTTCAATACAGATAAATGTCACAGTATGTCATTCTCTAGAAGTAGGTCTATTATCAAATATACATATATCATCAATAATTCAATCGTTGAATCGGTATCTATGAAAAAAAGATTTAGGTGTTATACTCTGTCCTAAACTGAGCTTTCACTCTCATATCGAAGCAATGTGCTGTAAATCTCTAAAGACACTTGGTTTTGTGCTACGATTATCTAAAGAGTTTAAATTGTCTGCTTCACTCAAGTCTATTTACTGTTCCCTTGTTAGATCCCTTCTTGAGTACGCCTCAGTACTATGGGACCCCTGCACGGCAGTGGATTCATCTCTTATAGAACGTGTCCAGAGAAGATTTTTAAGCTCATCAGCGTTTATTCTGAAAATTAACCATCCACCTCACGACTACCAACCAGTCATGCAAAAACTAGGTCTTGTCTCTTTAGCCGACAGAAGAGTTGAGGCTAACTTACTCTTTTTACACAAACTAATTGATGGATCTATTGATGCTCCTTCCCTACTCGCACAAGTTGGTTTTAAAGTTCCTTCCCGTCAAACTAGGTCATCCGCTCCCTTCGCTATTACTCCACACACGACCAATTACGGCAGTAACCAACCAATTGACAGGATGATGCGCCTTGGCAATGAGCACCCTCACTTGTTTATTAGATATCAGTAGGTGTTGTATTATTACTATCATGTACCTAAAAAAAAAAAAAAAAAATGTAAATGTATTTGTCACTGTATATTAGTAGTAGTATATATTTGTATGTTCACAGTCCGTTTTTTGTATCACCACGGTAATTTCACAACGTTCAAGGGAGGATGCCCCCCTTGGACACAATAATTTTACCGTGTAAAAATTATGAAGAATTTACACACTTTTTACACGGTAATTTCACACCGTTCAAGGGAAGATGTTCCGCTTGCACACAATAATTTTACCGTGTAAAAATTATGAAGAGTTTGCACACTCAAAGTCAGTTTTAACCAAATATTTACAGTGTACACACTAAATAGTTTTTTTAATAATACCTTATTATTCACATTTTACATTTATGGTGGTTACACTGTAATTTATCTAATGAATGTCTTCATTTATATAATTTCAAGTTATAAGCTGATCATTTTCTCATATTCAGTTCCTAATGATCCGCCGTTCACTTAAGTTGTGTCTCATTTTTCTTTATTTTCTTGAAGTTTTATTACATTGTATAAGTTATTTAATTTCTTCAAAAATGAATTTTCAAAAATGTTCAAATGATTTTGAATCATTACTTTATCGTGTACAAAGAAATCCGACTATGGTTCATCCAACATTTTCTTCGTTTTCATCAAGATTTAAAACATTCAAATTATTCCCGTTAAATACCTATCAAAATAAATATACATTGTCTGAATGCGGTTTAAAATATTCAGGAGTGGATGATGTCGTGGAATGCTTTTGTTGTGGTATTATTCTTCATAACTGGGAAAGGTTGGACGATCCATGGATTGAACATTGTAGATTCAGTCCAAGATGTTTGTATGTATTATTAATGAAGGGTGATCAGTATGTTCAAAATGTATTAAACAAATATTGTAAAACCGAGCATATTCACAGTTGTGAATCTAAATCATACGATACTGTTTGTTGATCATGTTTTTTATTATATTATGTTATAGTAAATGCTAATCATGTTTTTTGTTATATGTTATCTATTATATAAAAATAAGTCCGGTTTTCCTCCCTGACGCTATAACTCGAGAACGCACGAACCGATTTCCACGGTTTTGCATTCGTTGGAAAGGTCTTGGGCTCCGTGAGGTTTATAGCAAAGAAAATTCTGGAAAATTCAGGAAAAATTCAACAGAAAAGTGGGGAAATCGTTTTTCACATACAGCGCCATCTATTATACATAGCATGTACTTCAAACCAATAGCAACGGTGCGTGATAAAGTGTTTGACGGATAGTTGTTTATTATATAGTTGACGGATAGTTGTTTACATTATTCTCTGCTCAGTTAATTTCATTTAAGCTAAAATAAATTATGTAAATTATGTGGATCGTGCATTTGAAGTTAAATTCAACACTCTGTCCATAGTCCAAAATGCCTAGAGAACGACGTGCGAACATCGGCCGCCGCACAAGACATGCAAGCCAGCAACAAGTATATTCAAGGAACTTAAGAGAAGAAAGACAAAATATAATAAGAGAAAATGACCGATTGAGACATCGCGTGAGCACACGAAGATCATTGGCATCATACAATCGCTTGGCGGTCGAACTATCAAAGTTAAAGTTCAAAATCAAGAGATTGAGATCGGAAATGAATTCATTGTACCATATTGCCCGCTGCTATCACGAATTTTCGAAACACATGCAAACGTTGAGAGTTGTCATTCGGCCAAATCAATCAAATATTTGTGCAAGTACGTCACAAAAGGCAGCGACATGGCTGTGTTTGGTATTGCGTCGGAAAATGTGAATAACGAAATCAGCAACTTCCAAATGGGCAGATACGTCAGTACTAATGAAGCACTGTGGCGATTATTGTCATTTCAAATTCATGAAAGATATCCCACAGTTGTACATTTAGCAGTGCATTTGGAAAATGGCCAAAGAGTTTACTTCACTGAGGCTAATGCGGCACAACGAGCTGAGAGACCACCATCGACAACATTGACTAGCTTCTTTGCAATGTGTGAATCAGATCCATTCGCAGCGACGCTGATGTACGTTGAAATGCCCAAGTATTACACTTGGAATCAATCAACAAAGAAATTCCAACGTCGCAAACAAGGAACCCCAGTTCCAGACTGGCCACAGGTGTTTTCAACTGATGCACTAGGTCGTATGTACACTGTTCATCCTAGAAACGATGAATGTTTTTATTTGCGACTGCTGTTAGTAAATGTACGTGGACCGAAATCATTTGCGCATTTGAAAACTGTGAATGGCCACCAATGCCAAACATATCGAGAAGCATGTCAACTATTGGGTTTGCTGGAGAACGATTCTCATTGGGATTTAACACTTGCAGATTCAGTTGATCTTCCGTTTGACTTCAAACGATTGCAATTCCCAGTTCGCCTTGCGTTCGCAATGACAATTAATAAGTCGCAAGGCCAATCGCTTAGTGTTTGCGGGATAAATTTGGAAAATCATTGTTTTTCACATGGACAGTTATACGTTGCGTGTTCACGAGTTGGGAAACCATCCGCTTTGTTTGTGTTAACGTCAAACCAAAAAACAAAAAATGTGGTTTACCAAAGAGCACTACAATGAAACAATTAAATAACACTTCATTTTAGTAGGTAATTGAAATGAATTTATTACTGTTGTGAAATGAAATAAATATTTTCCTTTTCAAATATATAACAAAAAAAATTTTTTTCTTTATATTTTAATCACCAAACGAAAAAAAACATAAAACGAATCTGGTGGCGAAACGGAGTTCGCCGGGTCTGCTAGTAGTAAATAAAAATAAATGATGATTATTTTAAAACAACTTATATGTGTTATTATTTGATGTAATATCTCGTGAACGTATAGCCTAGTGGGTTAGTGCGTGTAGTGATAATTTAAATGTTTTCAGGTAACAGGTAAGTATAATATATAATTCTCCCCTTCACCGTATACAGTAGCCGACTATGCTATACGTTCACAATTTTTTGCATTTTTTTTTTATTTTTTTATTTTTTTTTCATATATTTTATCTATCAGGTTTAGTATATAATACGCTCACAAAGTAAAAATGTTTTCAGTTCAGAGTATATCCTTCATCGGTTATATTATTATATTATATGAAATTTTAAAAAAATTTTAATAATAATAATAATTACGTTTTTTAGTTTAAAAGGTTTTTTTAATTATTAAAAAGAAAAGAACTATAAAATAAGTTTAATTCGTTATGAGTCTACCGATGATTGTGTATAAATCAGTATTTGATATACGTCCATTTGGTAAGAAGAGTGTTACAGTCGGACTATTAATCACCAAACAAATTTCGATTATTGTGTTATTAGAATGCAAGTTAACGAAAAAAATTATTACATTAAATTTAGAGCAATGGTGTACGCTCATGTCTGAATCTAATTACATTTCAATTACTAACAACTTACATACCAGGTGTAAACGTGTAAGAATCACTGAGAACTTTACATATTCAATTAATGTGAAGCAGAGTTCAATAACCTTGTATATAAATGATGATTATATTACACTCTCACATATAGATTTCTGTAGACTTAAACAACTTCAGCATTGTGTAAACCTTTATATCATAGAAAAACAGAAACGTCTTCACAGTTTTCAAACAACATTTGATGCGGCTTATGAACTGATTAAAAACGATGTCCAAGGTTTACCCATCAGCTGCCAGAGGAACGAATTCACAAACCAGTATATTCAAAACTATGATTTTAATTGTTATTCTCATCTACTAAACGATGACACTTCATTTTTGTATGAAATATTACAATTTCATTTTAACGAAATGTCTGACATGATTTTACAGGACTTAATAGTATGATATAATACAAATTCATTTATATTTATGTAAGGTTTATTTATCAAGTAAAAAATATTTTTATGATATTACACCCATCATACTAAATTGTTTTTTATTGTTCGACGTTCAGGATCTTTTAAAATCATGTCGAATATGACCTGCATGGTCTCATTCAAACTCGTATTTATAGTCTGGTCTTTTGATTTGTCTGAAGTCGTTATCTTGACAGATGCCTCAGAGTGACGCCACCTGCAACATAAATTAATTATTCAATTAACTGAACAGTGAATAGAAGCAGATTATTATTTTTTTTTTTTTTTTTTTTTTTCATTATAAACAATAGGTTTTTAATTAAAAAAGTAAACCAAAGTATATTATTTACCTCTCCTTTTGAGGAACATTTTTAATGTTTTTACACTTGTAGTGTGTTATTGTCCAGTAGTCGGTTCCCATCTCTTCTGGATTAAACCGACTTTTAATGGTAGCCAAACCATCTCCCTGTCGGAAAGTAACTGTATTGAAGATTTCTTCATCGTAATCTTCCGCCCGTAATTTATCCTCTAAGATTTCTCTGTAAGATGAACTCTTAAAAAAAATAAAAAAAAAATAAATTCATGCTATAATTGATCACCTTAGAATATTAAATAAATGTATTAAGATGATAACTTATTATTTATCTTACTGTTTTTGTCTGCTTAATCTTTTTATTATTTTTTTTGTCAATCGCTTTTTCAGCTCCTCTTTTGTGAGCTGTCTTAGTTTGTTTTGAAGTCGAAGGCTTCATTTTCATGTCGAATCCTTCAAAGTCGTTCTATAAAATAAACTTATAGTATTAAATTTAATATATTGATAGATTGTTTTTTTTATAAATGTATGAGTGGTTTACCACAGAATTGCATGACTGAGAATTGAATCTATCGAACGGTATGTCAGTCGGTGCAATGCCAGAATACTCCAACTATTACCCCATTAACTGAGACGAATGTATGATCAGTGCAATGCCGGAATACTCTGACTATTACACTATTGTCATATAAATACCGTCCGATAGATTCTGGTGTCGAGATTTTAGTAGTTATTTTAGTGTTGAGTAGTTTTACAACTGGTCTCCAATTAGCTTAAGTTATTAAAGTAATTCATTTACTAACCTCTGATCCAGAATCAGCAGTAGAAGTTCTGTACGACATCTTGAAACTGAATTGTTGAATTAATGAAGAAGAAGTTGCTGGATGCTGACTCGACTGTGATATTGCTGTTGATAAGCTAGCCTTATATACTGTGATGTTTCCACTACTATAGTAACTTTAACATGTAGAATACTCATATCAATGTTTATCAACCTCCTAGCGGTCACGCTAGCGGTGTTTACACCACACCATTTTATTTAATTATACTTATCGATAAGATTAGTATGACCCCCTGCTATTCCTACACCATGTATTTATAAACATAATGCAATAGTTAATTAATAATTAATAATTAATAATTATTTTTTAATATGTACAATATTATGTAAAAAATAAAGTTATTTGATAAATTGAATTGTTTGTAAATGTCATTGTAAATTATTCCTTACGTGTATCATACAAAATATAAGATAACAGTTCTAAAAATCTACACTAAAAATAAAGAAATAAAATAACGGTGTTAACTCCACGGCATGACTGCCAACGAGATTTTCATAGGTACGACCTCTAGGAGGTTAAACCAGTCAACACCCTTAATTTGATCTAATTACATCGATAATTATTACGTGAAAAACGTTAATAAAAAAAATTAATAATCATAATATCAAATTGATTTCGTTCATGTAATATATTATTTAATTACATCATCTCCCATTATTTTTTCATTCTACAACAACATCACTATTATTTTCCGTTTACCATATCATTATTATATAAATAATACCTTGTAAGAACATGTAATATGTTAACACATTGTAAGTTTAAATAAATAAAAAAAATTTAATTATATATACTGTACAATTCATATTATACAAACAGATAATGTAAAATATCTAAGAAACAATTCTGTACGAGACGTATTCCATCATTACATCGATTATACTATTATAGTATAATAATTATAGTAGTATAGATTATTATAATTATCTATACTAGGTACTATAATTATAAGATAATTATATAATTATATATAATTATATAATATCAAATTGAATTTAAATATTAAATTGATTTCGTTCTTATAATATTATTTAATTACATATACAAGGTTGTGGATAAAGATGATAGACGAAGATAAGAAAAAATAATTTAAATATAGTACTTATATAATATAACATCATATTTTGACCTAGCTTTTTTTAAATGATTATTCTAGGTAGCAGTTATCACCAATACATTTATTATATATTATAATTACTATAACTACAAAATAACTTAGTTGTTTTTAAAATTATTATTATAATTATTAATAATTATTATTATTATTTTAAATTATTATTCCGGATAACAGTTATCACCAATACATACATTATATATTATAATTACTATTACTCCCAAATAATACTCCGTCTAAACAGCGTTTGTTAGTCAAACGATATCAGTTCAGCTTGTGTTTTCTGCCAGACAACAGACAACAGGTATTCACTGTAGACATCACCAACAGGCATTCACCATCGAGAATCAAAAAAATACTTCAATCCTACATAGTTGACCAGTCCATTACCAGCATTATCAACAGACATTCGCTACTGAATATTGGAAAATACTTTAACCGTACAGCTATCTATGTAAGTACCTACCTATTTCATTATTTATATATTTTTAAAAAAAGAATCATCTTATTGAATCTAAAATCACATCTTTACTAGTTTTTAAAAACGAAAAAATAATACACGATAGTAAAAACATAACATAGCATAAGCGTTTAGGTAATTGATTATAAAAGATTATTGATTATATAGTACGAACACTTGCATTTTCACAACAGACATTCACCATCGAGAATCA